GCGCAGTGGTGATTCGCTTGGAACCAGAATCTGTGCAGTGGTGATCGTTTGGAGCCAGAGTCTGTGCAGTGGTGATGCGTTTGGAGCCAGAGTCTGCGCAGTGGTGATTTGTTTGAAGCCATAGTCTGTGCAGTGGTGATTCGTTTGGAGCGAGAGTCTGTGCAGTGGTGATTGGTGATTCGCTTCGAGCGAGAGTCTGTGCAGTGGTGATTCTTTTGACACGTTTGGAGCCCGAGTCTGCGCAGTGGTGACTTGTTTGGAGCCCGAGTCTGCGCAGTGGTGATTCGTTTAGAGCCAGAGTCTGCGTAGTGGTGATTCGTTTGGAGCTGGAGTCTGCGCAGTGTTGACTCGTTTGGAGCCCGAGTCTGCACAGTGGTGATTCGTTTGGAGCCTGAGTCTGCGCAGTGGTGATTCGTTTGGAGCTCGAGTCTGTGCAGTGGTGATTCGTTTGGAACCAGAGTCTGTGCTGTGGTGATTCGTTTGGAGCCCGAGTCTGGGTAGTGGTGATTCGTTTGGAGCCCAAGTCTGCGCAGTGGTGATTCGTTTGGAACCAGAGCCTGCGCAGTGGTGATTCGTTTGGAGCCAGTGTCTGTGCAGTGGTGATTCGTTTGGAGCCAGTGTCTGTGGAGTGGTGATTCATTTGGAGCGAGAGTCTGTGCAGTGGTGATTCGTTTGGAGCCAGAGTCTGTGCAGTGGTCATTCGTTTGGAGCGAGAGTCTGTGCAGTGGTCATTCGCTTGGAACCAGAATCTGCGCAGTGGTGATTCGCTTGGAACCAGAGTCTGTGCAGTGGTGATTCATTTGGAGCCAGAGTCTGTGCAGTGGTGATTCTTTTGACATGTTTGGAGCCCGTGGAGCCCGAGTGGTGACTCGTTTGGAGCCCGAGTCTGCGCAGTACAGATTCGTTTGGAGCCCGAGTCTGCCGAGTCTGCACTCGTTTGGAGCCAGAGTCTACGCAGTGGTGATTCTTTTGGAGCCAGAGTCTGCACAGTGGTGATTCGTTTGGAGTCAGGGTCTGCGCAGTAGTGACTCATTTGGAACCAGAGTCTGCGCAGTGGTGATTCGTTTGGAGCCCCAAATCTGCACAGTAGTGATCGTGAGTTGGAGCTGCAGTGTCAAAGTCTGGCCCATACTCCCGCAGACCCAATCACAATCTCACTATCATGACACCACATCCCATTTTATAGCATCAAATAATTAATTAAAAGCAAACGTATTGAGTATACATTAGCGTGACAAGGACTTTTGTTTGAGTTTGGCTCATGTCCCATTTGTTTATGACCTATACTGCAGCCAGCCGCCAGATGGTGATCGAAATATTTTGGCTTCACTTTTCAGGTCGTGTTCGGCACACTTAGATCAGATCTGTAACGGAATAATAGGAAATGCTACTTACATATTATGTCAGATATATTACATTGCCAAACACTGATGGAATAAAAAGCTATCTGTCTATTGCATTTGACTTCTATAGAAACCTTTCCTCAGTAAAAAACATTTACGTAGGTATCAGAAGTGAAGGCAAATCTCACTACCAACCAAGTGTAATTCAGTTGAGTAATTTATGGGTTGCTGTTAATGGGTTACACTTTCACATTGTGAGAGCCAAATAAATGGAAAAATCCAAGAATCCACAACACAGAGCTTAGTAAAACTAGAATGAGTTCAAATAACAATAGTTACAACATTATGTTGATGATAAAAATACACCACAATAGAAAATGTATAATCCAAAATGAAGGATAATGATCATTTGTAGCCCAACCTCTTTATTATGTACTTTGCATTAGTGTAAGTATGTGTAGCTTGGCTGTGTCGTGAAAGTGTGATTGTAGTTTTCTTTTTAGTCTTTGCTTTGTTATGCTTAATATTGAGTCAGAACAGCAAAACTACCTTCTGTGTCCTTCTTGTTTCTCTCATTTCCTTCTTTTTTCTCTCTCTGTCTATCTCTAGTGTTGTAGTATTGTAGTGCTGCTGTGTTTTTGTGCAGTAGACACTCATAGCTACTCTCTGTTTGAATGCATGTGACCTGCTTGTGAACTGAAGGGGTGACGCTGGGCGATCTCACCCACAGGAAGAACACGGGAAACTCGGGCTGGTTCAGTCAGTCCACTGAGACTCATGGTAAATTTAGTTCAGTTTGTGTGTTTGAGTGTGACAGACACTTCATATGTGCAGCAACATATTCCGTTAAAACAACATTGCATTGAATATAGCGGCAAGAGACAAAACCCCCTTTTCTGTAGGTGCACACACCGCATCTTATTTTATTTGATCAAAAAATACAGTAAAACAGTAATGTTGTAAATTATTATTACAATAAAAAAATCTTTACTATTTTAAAATATTTTCAAATGTAATTTATTCCTGTAGTATTTGTTGTTTAACTGGCATTTGTTAGCAACAGCCTATTCTTATTAAATGCATTCATTTTTTTATATAATATAGTTGCATACATTTCCAGTTAATCACCTTTTATATCTTTGCATGCCTTATCATAATCATACTTGTCGTGTATACCATGTTTTTGTGAGAATAAACCATTTTGAAGATTTATAACCTATAGACCATGCAAAGAACAAATTCCAAAGACCCCATCAACACATTTTTAGATTTTTCTTCCTTATTGTGAGACCAGGTGTGACTCTTCAGAGTCAGTCTTTGTACACATCTACTAAATTTCATCAAAATGATTTTTCCCTTTTTGGGATTTTTTTTTTTGTAAAATGGCCACACACTACATTTATGACTAGAAAAAAAAAGCCAGACAGAGACCAATAGGGCTATATGAGATCGAGAAGTTATAAACTGAGGAATATGCCGTTTGTTTGTATAATTTGTGTAATGTCATTTTCATTCCATGACTAGCAGATGACATTTCAGTCCTCTTCAATTTACACTTTTAGATGGAAAAAGTTTGTAAATTTTGTGAAATCACACACATTCACAGGATTGTTGAATATCATAGGCAGGCAATAATACATTTATGATACCTTAAAAACAATACATTTTAGTGCATAGGATGTTCAGACATGCCCTTATGCCTTATCATTGTATGTTTGGTCTGTGCTCCTGCTGTTCCTGGTTCCTGTTTTAATAGTGTCTGGCTGTTCTTTGTTAATCAGTCATGTCATGTCATTCTCTTTGTATGTGTCTCGGTCAGCTCCGTATATCACAAGTCAGGGCACTGGCCAGGGATTTCTAGAGCTGTCCCAATGTCATAATTGTTCCAAAACACAGAATGAATAATTCCTACAATGCACTGCAATAACCAGGGAGCATCATTGCTCACTTTGTTGCCTTCACAGCTGGAATGTAGCTAAGATATGTAACAGAAGTGAAACAAATCAGACCAGAAAGATATCAGTCCAGCTTGCTGACCAGTGATGTTCTTGAAAGATGCAGTGGTCTCAGCAAATAAGGTGAAGATACCAGAGAGGAGCAGAGAGGGGGCCTCATTGTGGGCCCTCTGATTGATTGAAGGAGAATTTATTTGCATTGCCTAGAGTTTAGATGGTTCTTCGTACTGTGTGTGAGAGGCAGGGGCAATTTAGCATTATAGCATTTTAAATAAATTAATATGTTTTATTACAGTTTGTGTTAGCAGAAAAAAAAGCACTCCCTTTGCATTACAGTAGTGCAGGCTAGGCTCTCTTGTGCACAGTGATGTGTTTTCTGTGTCTCTGCAGCAAGCATCCCCACAAGTGAGACAGAATCTGTGAACACAGAGAAACCAGGAGAAGATGAGAAAGTCTGCTGTGGGCCCATCTGGTAAGCACTCCATTTTTATACCTTATATACAGCTATATGGGAAGTTCTTCACACCCTTTTGTGCCTGCGATAATCTCCAAAGAAACTCCCAGCTCTTGAATCTCTAACGAAATGTTAACTAGTTGTCACATGCTGGAAGTTTTTTCATCAGCTTATAGCGTGGCATGAAGTGATGCCATATTTTTCACTTTTTCAGTCAGAAATTGACAAAGTCGAAGTTCAGGTCAGTAGCTCAGTGTGTGTTCGAAGCTGAATTCAGTTCCAGTTGTGTGTGTTTGCTCATCATTCTGCATGTCGGTGTGTGTGCGCGCGCCTTGTTTTGAACATTTAAAGCTCTTTATGTTGATGTGCGTCAGTGAATCTGTCAAGGCGCTTTGATGCTTGCTGCATATGTTGTGTTTGATATGAATGCATTCGAAAGGCTTGGCTTTGCATTTCATTACATTAAAGCTTGAACAGTCTTCTGAACGTATCGCATGCATGGACACTCTAAACAGCATGCAACATGTGTTCACATAAATTAACTGTGCAAATACACACGTTCAGTGTGTAGCGCTCGCAGTGCTGTGCAATCACATCCTATCTCTGCAGCCGCTCGCGTTGCTGGAACAGATTTTGTCGCCGGAAGTGCCGAGCTGTGGTGAAATCCACCCTCTTCTATTGGCTGGTGATTCTGCTGGTGTTCCTCAATACACTCACAATATCATCCGAACATTATAACCAGCCCGACTGGCTCACGGAAGTCCAGGGTGAGAAACTCACAGCAGACACTCACTGAAACTCTTTTTGCTTTTGGATGTCGAAACAAAAATGAATAAAACTTGAAGACTGACAAAAAATGATAACAGTATTGTTAAAACTGACAGATTGGGATGCGCAGTGATATAGCGTATGCATGTCTTATTTGTTCTTCTTGTGTTTGTCTGCAGATGTGGCTAATAAGGTGTTGTTAGCCCTGTTCACATGCAAGATGCTAGTAAAAATGTACAGTCTGGGACTACAGGCATACTTTGTGTCACTTTTCAACTGCTTCGACTGCTTTGTAGTTTGCGGAGGCATAGTGGAGACAATCCTTGTGGAGCTTGAGATCATGTCTCCTCTCGGCATCTCTGTGTTTCGCTGCGTCCGGCTCCTCAGAATCTTTAAAGTCACACGGTGAGAAACAGCACAGATGATCTGATGGTTTCTTATGCTGCCTTCATATCACTGTAATTAAAGGATGATAACTCATCAGAGTAATTTTAAAATAGTTTCTCTGACTACACTCTTGATGTGTATTGATGTGTCAGTGGTCAAAATAGAGAACATATCAAACAAAAATATATGAGTAATTGATGCATAACATCATGTATTTGTACAAAAAAAAAATGTTTTATCACAGGACCATTTAAAATAAGCAAGCTAGATTAGTAAACAAACTTTTTTTGAAGAACCCCACGTCCAACTAGTAGTATTGCTCTTGAAGAGTCAATACAAGTCAAAAGGAACCAAAGTTCTGTTGAAATTGTTGTAAGACATTTCATTTTTTAATGACTATAAACAATATGTGACCAATAACTAAAATGTAATGGTGCTGAAAGTATGAACCCATAATGTGGGTCTTGTTTTAAGTCTGTCTCTGTTTCTAGTCACTGGGCGTCTCTGAGTAACCTGGTGGCATCACTTTTGAACTCCATGAAGTCCATTGCATCCCTACTGCTGTTGCTCTTCCTCTTCATCATTATCTTCAGTTTGCTTGGCATGCAGTTCTTCGGAGGAAAGTTCAACTTTGATGAGACTGTTACCAAACGAAGCACTTTTGACAACTTTCCTCAAGCCCTGCTGACTGTCTTTCAGGTGTGTGTGTGTGTGCGTGCGCGAGTCAAGTCACCTTTATTTATGTAGCACTTTATACAATTCAGATTGTGTCAAAGCAGCTTTACAGTGCTAAACAGGAAAACAAGTGTGTCAATAATGCAAACAACAATTCAATTCTGCTGTTAAGCAGCTCTAAAAAGAGCACAATAGCATGTCAATTTTTCAGTTAAAGGCAGTTCATCGTTGATTCAGTGATAATGACATCCAGCTCAGTTCAAATCTCTTCCAGTATCATTTTGTAAGAAATGTGTTGACATACAGCTTGTTTGGCAATATCTGGATAGCTTACAGTATGAACATTAACTTTGCATGAAAGCAGCATGTAAAATTATTGAAGAAAGAGTTTTAGATGGAGCACATCCATCCAGCCAGCCAGTAGAATGCAGCAAGACATTGTCAAATTCCCACTTGTAAATATGTACATTTTTTTTTCTTACGCATCAGATCCTGACAGGTGAGGATTGGAATACTGTGATGTATGATGGGATCATGGCGTATGGAGGCCCCTCCTCCTCAGGCATGCTTGTGTGCATCTACTTCATCATCCTCTTCATCTGTGGAAACTGTATCTTTTCTTCTATTCGCTTGGAACCAGAATCTGCGCAGCGGTGATTCGTTTGGAGCCAGAGTCTGCGCAGTGGTGATTTGTTTGAAGCCATAGTCTGTGCAGTGGTGATTCATTGGAGCGAGAGTCTGTGCAGTGGTGATTCGCTTGGAACCAGAGTCTGTGTAGTGGTGATTCATTTGGAGCCAGAGTCTGTGCAGTGGTGATTCGTTTGGAGCCAGAGTCTGTGCAGTGGTGATTCGCTTGGAACCAGAATCTGCGCAGTGGCGATTCGTTTGGAACCAGAGTCTGCGCAGTGGTGATTCGTTTGGAACCAGAGTCTGTGAAGTGGTGATTCGTTTGGAGCCAGAGTCTGTGCAGTGGTGATTCACTTCGAGCCAGAGTCTGTGCAGTGGTGATTCTTTTGACATGTTTGGAGCCCGAGTCTGCACAGTGGTGACTCGTTTGGAGCCCGAGTCTGCGCAGTACAGATTCGTTTGGAGCCCGAGTCTGCGTAGTGGTGACTCGTTTGGAGCCAGAGTCTACGCAGTGGTGATTCTTTTGGAGCCAGAGTCTGCACAGTGGTGATTCGTTTGGAGTCAGGGTCTGCGCAGTAGTGACTCATTTGGAACCAGAGTCTGCGCAGTGGTGATTCGTTTGGAGCCCCAAATCTGCACAGTAGTGATCGTGAGTTGGAGCTGCAGTGTCAAAGTCTGGCCCATACTCCCGCAGACCCAATCACAATCTCACTATCATGACACCACATCCCATTTTATAGCATCAAATAATTAATTAAAAGCAAACGTATTGAGTATACATTAGCGTGACAAGGACTTTTGTTTGAGTTTGGCTCATGTCCCATTTGTTTATGACCTATACTGCAGCCAGCCGCCAGATGGTGATCGAAATATTTTGGCTTCACTTTTCAGGTCGTGTTCGGCACACTTAGATCAGATCTGTAACGGAATAATAGGAAATGCTACTTACATATTATGTCAGATATATTACATTGCCAAACACTGATGGAATAAAAAGCTATCTGTCTATTGCATTTGACTTCTATAGAAACCTTTCCTCAGTAAAAAACATTTACGTAGGTATCAGAAGTGAAGGCAAATCTCACTACCAACCAAGTGTAATTCAGTTGAGTAATTTATGGGTTGCTGTTAATGGGTTACACTTTCACATTGTGAGAGCCAAATAAATGGAAAAATCCAAGAATCCACAACACAGAGCTTAGTAAAACTAGAATGAGTTCAAATAACAATAGTTACAACATTATGTTGATGATAAAAATACACCACAATAGAAAATGTATAATCCAAAATGAAGGATAATGATCATTTGTAGCCCAACCTCTTTATTATGTACTTTGCATTAGTGTAAGTATGTGTAGCTTGGCTGTGTCGTGAAAGTGTGATTGTAGTTTTCTTTTTAGTCTTTGCTTTGTTATGCTTAATATTGAGTCAGAACAGCAAAACTACCTTCTGTGTCCTTCTTGTTTCTCTCATTTCCTTCTTTTTTCTCTCTCTGTCTATCTCTAGTGTTGTAGTATTGTAGTGCTGCTGTGTTTTTGTGCAGTAGACACTCATAGCTACTCTCTGTTTGAATGCATGTGACCTGCTTGTGAACTGAAGGGGTGACGCTGGGCGATCTCACCCACAGGAAGAACACGGGAAACTCGGGCTGGTTCAGTCAGTCCACTGAGACTCATGGTAAATTTAGTTCAGTTTGTGTGTTTGAGTGTGACAGACATTTCATATGTGCAGCAACATATTCCGTTAAAACAACATTGCATTGAATATAGCGGCAAGAGACAAAACCCCCTTTTCTGTAGGTGCACACACCGCATCTTATTTTATTTGATCAAAAAATACAGTAAAACAGTAATGTTGTAAATTATTATTACAATAAAAAAATCTTTACTATTTTAAAATATTTTCAAATGTAATTTATTCCTGTAGTATTTGTTGTTTAACTGGCATTTGTTAGCAACAGCCTATTCTTATTAAATGCATTCATTTTTTTATATAATATAGTTGCATACATTTCCAGTTAATCACCTTTTATATCTTTGCATGCCTTATCATAATCATACTTGTCGTGTATACCATGTTTTTGTGAGAATAAACCATTTTGAAGATTTATAACCTATAGACCATGCAAAGAACAAATTCCAAAGACCCCATCAACACATTTTTAGATTTTTCTTCCTTATTGTGAGACCAGGTGTGACTCTTCAGAGTCAGTCTTTGTACACATCTACTAAATTTCATCAAAATGATTTTTCCCTTTTTGGGATTTTTTTTTTTGTAAAATGGCCACACACTACATTTATGACTAGAAAAAAAAAGCCAGACAGAGACCAATAGGGCTATATGAGATCGAGAAGTTATAAACTGAGGAATATGCCGTTTGTTTGTATAATTTGTGTAATGTCATTTTCATTCCATGACTAGCAGATGACATTTCAGTCCTCTTCAATTTACACGTTTAGATGGAAAAAGTTTGTAAATTTTGTGAAATCACACACATTCACAGGATTGTTGAATATCATAGGCAGGCAATAATACATTTATGATACCTTAAAAACAATACATTTTAGTGCATAGGATGTTCAGACATGCCCTTATGCCTTATCATTGTATGTTTGGTCTGTGCTCCTGCTGTTCCTGGTTCCTGTTTTAATAGTGTCTGGCTGTTCTTTGTTAATCAGTCATGTCATGTCATTCTCTTTGTATGTGTCTCGGTCAGCTCCGTATATCACAAGTCAGGGCACTGGCCAGGGATTTCTAGAGCTGTCCCAATGTCATAATTGTTCCAAAACACAGAATGAATAATTCCTACAATGCACTGCAATAACCAGGGAGCATCATTGCTCACTTTGTTGCCTTCACAGCTGGAATGTAGCTAAGATATGTAACAGAAGTGAAACAAATCAGACCAGAAAGATATCAGTCCAGCTTGCTGACCAGTGATGTTCTTGAAAGATGCAGTGGTCTCAGCAAATAAGGTGAAGATACCAGAGAGGAGCAGAGAGGGGGCCTCATTGTGGGCCCTCTGATTGATTGAAGGAGAATTTATTTGCATTGCCTAGAGTTTAGATGGTTCTTCGTACTGTGTGTGAGAGGCAGGGGCAATTTAGCATTATAGCATTTTAAATAAATTAATATGTTTTATTACAGTTTGTGTTAGCAGAAAAAAAAGCACTCCCTTTGCATTACAGTAGTGCAGGCTAGGCTCTCTTGTGCACAGTGATGTGTTTTCTGTGTCTCTGCAGCAAGCATCCCCACAAGTGAGACAGAATCTGTGAACACAGAGAAACCAGGAGAAGATGAGAAAGTCTGCTGTGGGCCCATCTGGTAAGCACTCCATTTTTATACCTTATATACAGCTATATGGGAAGTTCTTCACACCCTTTTGTGCCTGCGATAATCTCCAAAGAAACTCCCAGCTCTTGAATCTCTAACGAAATGTTAACTAGTTGTCACATGCTGGAAGTTTTTTCATCAGCTTATAGCGTGGCATGAAGTGATGCCATATTTTTCACTTTTTCAGTCAGAAATTGACAAAGTCGAAGTTCAGGTCAGTAGCTCAGTGTGTGTTCGAAGCTGAATTCAGTTCCAGTTGTGTGTGTTTGCTCATCATTCTGCATGTCGGTGTGTGTGCGCGCGCCTTGTTTTGAACATTTAAAGCTCTTTATGTTGATGTGCGTCAGTGAATCTGTCAAGGCGCTTTGATGCTTGCTGCATATGTTGTGTTTGATATGAATGCATTCGAAAGGCTTGGCTTTGCATTTCATTACATTAAAGCTTGAACAGTCTTCTGAACGTATCGCATGCATGGACACTCTAAACAGCATGCAACATGTGTTCACATAAATTAACTGTGCAAATACACACGTTCAGTGTGTAGCGCTCGCAGTGCTGTGCAATCACATCCTATCTCTGCAGCCGCTCGCGTTGCTGGAACAGATTTTGTCGCCGGAAGTGCCGAGCTGTGGTGAAATCCACCCTCTTCTATTGGCTGGTGATTCTGCTGGTGTTCCTCAATACACTCACAATATCATCCGAACATTATAACCAGCCCGACTGGCTCACGGAGGTCCAGGGTGAGAACTCACTGAAACTCTTCATGCTTTATACACCTTTGGATGTTGACACAAAAATGAATAAAGCTTGGCTTTCACTTTATTTTGATGGTTCCTTTAACACAATCTGTTGACTATAAGTAATGTTGCACCTAAATGTCTACTAACTCTCATTAGAGTGTTAGTAGAGTATTAGTAGACTGGTAGAGTTAGGGTTAGAATAAGTGGTCTGTTGGGGCACCATCACAATAAAGAGTTCGCAGATATTAATCAGACAGTCTACTATACTCTTGTTGTTGTTTGTGGACATGTAGGTGCAAAGTTACTTATATTGTCAGCAGAATGCTCTAAAGGGACGATCAAAATAAAGTGTTACCAAAGCTTGATGACTGACAAAAAATGTTGTGTTTGTCTGCAGGTGTGGCTAATAAGGTGTTGTTAGCCCTGTTCACATGTGAGATGCTGATAAAAATGTACAGTCTGGGGCTGCAGGCATACTTTGTGTCACTTTTCAACCGCTTCGACTGCTTCGTAGTTTGCGGAGGCATTGTGGAGACGATCCTCGTGGAGCTTGAGATCATGTCTCCTCTCGGCATCTCAGTGTTTCGCTGCGTCCGGCTCCTCAGAATCTTTAAAGTCACATGGTGAGAAACAGCGCATATGATATGCTGCCTTCATATCACTGTAAAGACAGGATGACAACTTTATTTTAAGGTCCAATCTCGCCATTGACAAACCATTAACTATGATTTGTGCCTCAATAAACTCCTAATTTACTGATTATTAATAGTTTAGTTTAGTTATTGGGTAGGATTAGGGATGTAGAATATGGTCATGCAGAATATGTGCTTGATAAGTACTAATAAACAGCCAATATGTTAATAAAAGGCATGCTAATAAACAAATAATTAATAGTGAGAACTGGTCCCAACTGATTACCCAACTTTCTCATCAGACTAATATTTGTTTCTTACACTTCACTGTTGATGTGTTTTGATGTGTCAGTAGTCAAAATATGAAACATATCAAACTGAAATATATGGGTAGTTGGTGCATAACATCATGTGTTTGTACTTCTGTACAAAAATAGTCTCACTGCAGGGCCAGTTAAAATAAGTAAGCTAGATTACTAAACATTTTTTTCAAGAATCCCACATGTCCTGGTAGTATTGCTCTCGAAGAGTCAATACAAATCAAAATACAAGCCAACGTTCTGTTGAAATTATTGTAACAGATGTTGTTTTTTGATGACTATAATCAATATGTGACTAATAACTAAAATATCATGGTGCTGGTTGTATTGAGTCTTTTTTCTGTTTCTAGTCACTGGGCGTCTCTGAGTAACCTGGTGGCATCTCTTTTGAACTCCATGAAGTCCATTGCGTCCCTACTGCTGTTGCTCTTCCTCTTCATCATCATCTTCAGTTTGCTTGGCATGCAGCTCTTCGGAGGGAAGTTTAACTTTGACGAGACTGTTACCAAACGAAGCACTTTTGACAACTTTCCTCAAGCCCTGCTGACTGTCTTTCAGGTGTGTGTGCGTGTGTGTGTGTGTGTGTGTGTGTGTGTGTGTGTATACTACCGTTTTAAACTTTGGAGTCAGTAAGATTTTTTAGTGTTTGTGAAAGAAATGTATTGCTTACCAAGACTACATTTATTTTATCAAAACTACAGTGAAAACAGTAAGATTGTGAAATAATATGTGACTCTGGACCACAAAACCAGTCATAAGGGTAAATTTTTCGAAATTGAGATTTATACATCATCTGAAAGCTGAATAAATAAGCTTTCCATTGATGTATGGTTTGGACAATATTTGGCCGAGATACAACTATTTGAAAATCTGGAATCTGAGGGTGCAAAAAAAATCTAAATATTGAGAAAATCGCCTTTAAAGTTGTCCAAATGAAGTTCCTAGCCATGCATATTACTAATCAAAAATTACGTTTTTAGATGCAGCACATCCAGCCAGTAGAACATGTGTTGTCAAATAACCATTTGTAAATATGTACTTTTTTTCTTGCTCATCAGATCCTGACGGGTGAGGATTGGAATACAGTGATGTATGACGGGATCATGGCGTATGGGGGCCCCTCCTCCTCAGGCATGCTCGTGTGCATCTACTTCATCATCCTCTTCATCTGTGGAAACTGTATCTTTTCTTCTGTTTAGCCTGTTTGAAGTCACATCCTTACTGTATAAGATTTCTTCAGACTGTGTTGAACTGACCAAACAAGCAGCTGAACTCAAGCTGAAGAGGGAAATTAAAGCTGTTCTGCAGATTTGTTGTGATTAAAGCAAAAGCATATGTTTAAAGAGACAATGGGCAATAAAATTAACTTTGTAAATTTTGAGGCCTAAAGTGACCAAAAACATAAACGCAAATTTTGATTTCACACATTGTTGCATTCTGAAAAGTGTCTAACCGCATTTCTTAAACAGGTCATGAACTGCCCTTTTTATTATTTTGTACTGTTCTCTGAGATTTTTACATAAAAAAACAACGTAATAGGCTATTTTCTGTCCTGTTTTGACCCCCCTCATCAGAACGCACTGTTTGAATAGGCGTGGAGGATTGTAGACTCGGAAGTAAACGCCCACTGCTGTGATTGGCTAACAATTGTGTATGTTTGACAGCGACATTCCTCACAGATGGACGCTGCTGTGATTTAGGTCAAAAAAACATAATACATAGCAAACGATCTGTTTAACAGACAAAGCAATAGTGATCACGTAATAAAAACAGTTACTCACATTTGTGTGTTGCGGCATTACTGTCGGATCCAATTTAGTCGACACAGCATCGTCTTTTAGGTTCAATCTTTCTGAAAATCCTGCATCAAATAATTCTTTGTTTATAAACAAATCCGCAGTAAAATGAAGTGACCCGACCCATATCTCAACCTCGCTGGCAGCAAATGCGAAACTGACAAGAGTTTCAGAACATTAAGTACACAGTAAGTACATAGTCATGGAGGTCTGAGTGGGATTGATTTTCTGTCCCGCTAAAAATAAGTTATTTCTTTTACGTTTTGTCCCGCTTTCTCCTGCAAAATCCCACAGCTAGAGGGCAACGCAGATTGTTCGGTCCTGTTCCAGTATGATTCTATCTTGCATTTTTACCATTCCCACACAAGCATGACACTTCTGACTTTACCTTGTTGCATTTATTGCAGCAGGCCAACGGAAGTGCTTTATCTTCCTGTCACATACAACTAAAAAGCATTGAAAATATCCAACCCTGCACCTGTAAGCCATTTATCTTCAACAGACAAATAACATTCTGTACCTTAAAGCATAAAATAAATTTGAATAAATTAGACAGTTGTATTTTCACAAGTAATTCTTTTCCTGCGCACACATCAGTATTTTCCCTCACACACAAACTTGTCCAATGCCGCACCAAGTTAATTTGGGTCCCACAGGCTTCTACATTGTACCAAATGCTCAAATGCACAGTAGTTAAAAATATGTAATATAAAAAGGGACCCGACATATTCTTGGACTGAGCTCAGCTGAACTTCTGCATGGTGGAGCAACAGTTGGAAGAAAATGGCAAATGGTGTTTGTACACTTACAATAAGTATGTATCTTTCGCTTTCTAATACTGATCGGGAGAGAACTGAATGTGCTCCTTTTAATTTCTTAACACGTCTGATGAGACATCTTACTGAACGTCTTCTTGGCCATTGCTGTGGATAACCTGGCAGATGCTGAAAGTCTGAACTCAGCCCAGAAAGAGGAAGAGAAGAGGAACAAGAGGAAGAAAAGCAGGTGAGCGCTCCTCTCTGATACCCTGAGAAGCGTTTCATTCAGATACTGAGCACAAACATCTGCTAACATACAGAGTGTGTTTTGTGCAGGAGTATGAGCATACACAAGAGAGATGGTGACGATGGAGACGTCAAGGTGGGTGACATGGCTCTCTGGAATACTTGACTAGTCATGTGTTTATTTCTTTGGTAAGGGGCTGTACTGAACATGATCACAAAAAGCTGCTGAGGGTCAAGCTACCACCCTGACAGGGTTTATGTTCTGTCGATCTGTGGTACCCTGTCAGATTTTACTACCTCCTATTAAAACAGTAGGTAGTACAATTCGATAATGAAAAATTCTACCTTTCAAAGTATGGTTTATTAACGTCTACACCTACCCCAACCCTAAACCTACCCCTTACAGTAATGCAGATACAGTAATTATGTGTAGTTTAGGGTTGTGGCTAAGAAGGGATACAGCTAAGGCCGGAAACCAACAATAAATAAATTATTCTACCTATTAGATTGTGTTTTATTAAAGGGTTAGTTATCCCAAAAATGAAAATTCTGTCATTAATTACTCACCCTCAGGTCATTCCAAACCCGTAAGTCCTCCGTTCATCTTCAGATATTTTAAATACGTAATCACGTTCAGTAGACAGTGCGCATGCTAAACGTAAACAATGCTGATTATGTTCTGGGGTACGTTCCAAAATGGCGGAAGAATTGCTGAATCAATTATGTTATTATTGTTTTCTTTGCGCACAAAAAGTATTCTCGTAGCTTCGTAAAATTACGGTTGAACCCCCTATTTTACCGATGTCATTGCTATGTTTCTGGATCTTGATCGTTTTAGTATCCTTGCTGTCTATGGAGGGTCAGAGAGCTCTCCGATTTCATCAAAAATATCTTAATTTGTGTTCCGAAGATGAACGGAGGTCTTACGGGTTTGGATGACATGAGGGTGAGTAATTAATGACAGAATTTTCCTTTTTGGGTGAACTATCCCTTTAATGTCTACACCTGCCCCAAACCCTAAACCTAACTTACCCCTTACAGTAATGCAAATACAGTAATTATTGTTGTTCAGCGTGAGAAAAAGGACGCAATACTGATGTGCGCATGCCCAATAAGCCCTGGTAGGACAATCTGACCAAAATATCAGGACGTTTACTATGTTATAACGAGCAGATGACTCTACATTATCACTATTACTGAGGTCCTTTGGTTGCAGGCATCTGGTGATCAGGAGGGTAATCAGGATCAGACAGAGGACATGATTGACTCCTCAGGTGAACCTCTAATATTGTTTACCACTCAGCTCTGCACATGAGCTCCAGTGATGTCAGCTGATCGCTGTGATTGTCTTTGTATGTTTGTATGTAGAGGAGGATGAGGAAGATGAGCCCGAGGTACCATCAGGCCCGCGGCCGCTGAGGCTGTCAGAGCTGAACCTCAGAGAAAAGATGCCACCCATCCCAGAGGGCAGCGCCTTCTTCATCCTTAGCAACACCAACCCGTATGTCATACAAATCTTTAAAGTTCACTCAGAAATGAGACCTCTACCATCATTTGGTCACCCCCATTCCAAATCAGTATGACTTTATTTACAAATGTATTTTAAAATCTACATTTGTTCATTTAGTAGACACTTTTATCCAAAGTCACTTACAAATGTGGAACATCACAAGCAATTTATCATAACATATGCATAGTGCAAAATGGCAAGTTTAAAGTAGAAGTTGGATTAGTACACAAGCTACAGCAGAAGTACAGTGCCTTGTGAAAGTATTCACACCCTTTCATTTTTTTCACATTTTGTTATGTTGCTGCCTTATGTTAAACTGCTTTAAATTACTTCCCCCCCACATCAATCTACACTCCATACACCATAACGACAAAGCAAAAAACAGGTGTTTAACATATTTGCAAATTTATTTAAAATAAAAAACTTAAATGATTCCATTGCATAAGTATTCATACCCTTATCTGGGACAGTTGAAATTTAGTTCAGGAGCATTCATATTGCATGTAGATGTTACTGCACTTTCGAGTGAAGTTAACCTGTGGCAAATTAAATTGAATGAGTATGATTTGGACAGACACACATGTCTTAATAAAAGGTCTAAAAGCTGATAATGCATATCAGAGCAAAAACCAAGCCCTCAGGTAAAAACTGCCTGTAGAGCTCAGAAACAGGATTGCGTCAAGCCACACATCTGGGGAAAAGTTCAGAAAAAAATTCTGCTGCATTGAAGGTTCACAGAAGCATGTAGTCCGGGCTTGAGTTTGTGAGGTGAAGAGGCGAGGAGAAGAATGGCAGATAATTGCCAAATGCTGATGAGCAAATCCTGTCGCATCATACCCAAAAAGACTTGAGACTGTAAAGGTGCTTCAACCAAGTACTGAGTTAAGGGTATGAATACTTATGCAATGTGCTTATTTTTTATTATTTTTAATAGATTTACAAAGTTGTGACAATTCTATTTTTCCTCTGTCATTATTGTGTATGGAGTGTAGATTGATGTGGAAAAAAAGTAATTCAAAACAGTTTAACATAAGGCAGCAACATAACAAAACGTGAAAAAAATGAAGGGGTATGAATACTTTCACAAGGCACTGTAAATATGCAGAAAAGAAGAGAACAAGAACCATTTTTTAACAAATAAGGGATATACAGTGGGTACGGAAAGTATTCAGACCCCCTTAAATTTTTCACTCTTACTTAGGACCATGTGATATTTCAGTTTTTCCTTTTTAATAAATCTGCAAAAATGTCAACGATTCTGTGTTTTTCTGTCAATATGGGGTGCTGTGTGTACATTAATGAGGAAAAAAAATTAACTTAAATGATTTTAGCAAATGGCTGCAATATAACAAAGAGTGAAAAATTGAAGGGGGTCTGAATACTTTTCGTACCCACTGTATATGCTTGTGAACACTTTCTTTTTTCAGTGGTTACAAGAGAAGATGTTTAGCAGAATGTTCACGCTGCTCTTTTACATACAAGCACAAGAAAAGATTATTAAAGTACTGATTTAAATGTATTTCAATGCTTTTAATCTGACACTATTACAAAGTGTAGTTTTTTGAAGTGCAAGTTTAGTTTAAGTACACTTAAGTGGACTTATATTTTATTATTTTTACATAACCTTCAAGTATACTCTTAAGATTGGAAGTACATTACAAATACACACCTCTAATACAAACAAGAATGCTTCTTTTTTACAAGGCGTTTCAAAAACATCTTTTGGACTGCCATATTGTTCATTCTCACACACTGTTGTCAGTCTGATCTCTGTCTGTAACGCAGGATCCGTGTGGCGTGCCATCGGCTCATCAATCATCAGATCTTCACCAACCTCATCCTCATCTTCATCATGCTGAGCTCCGTCTCGCTGGCAGCCGAGGACCCCATCCGTAACTTCTCTGCCCGAAACATTGTAAAACCTGCACGATCAAAACACTGTGTCATCTGTTCTTTTGAATAGTGTAAAATTCACAAATATGAGGAAAATTGGAATTTCTTCTTTTGAACACAAGATCCTAGTTCTGCAGTGATAGACTCATTGAACTAGAGTCTTTTTAACCTTATTTTCACGTTCACAGTTTGAAGGAGTAATTATTTCCAAACAGGAATTCACAAGATGCTTCAAATGCAGATTCACTATTTACCTACTGAATCATTTCACTGATCCAGGGAACACATAATATCATCTAGATAGCATTAACCTTAATCAGGTTTAACATTTAACACGGCTATTAACTAGAGAGTAATAACTAGGTAGGTAATATTTAGCATATGCACATTGTAATGTCAGTGGATGATGGGCGATTCATTTTTCAAGATTCATTTTTCTCATTTTTCTTTTGCTACTGCAACCTTGCACAGTCCTATTTGGCTGCTCACTTAAACAGCTTTAAGATATTACTGCTTTGAAACAACATGGATTGTGAAGGAGCTGCGGAAATGAAATAACTTGAACCGACTGAATTTTTTGCTGTTGCGTTCTCTGTGCAGGTTCTTGGTTATTTTGACTATGCCTTCACTGCTATATTTACAGTGGAGATCTTGTTGAAGGTAAAGACTCCTGTCTTATTTCCATCTGCACACTGTACAATGTGACTATAACTCTCTTACCTGTTCTAGTTTATAAAGATGTGCTTTACTAGTTTCTAGTTTCTGGGGTTATTGAGTTGGACAGGAATTTACAACCCAATTCAGTCTGTTTCTATTAAATGTAAATGTAATAAATACAATTGGAAATAATTCCTTTAGCTTCAAGCAGTTTAGTTCACCCCTCTTTGTTGTGTTCATCAGATGACTGCATTTGGTGCTTTCCTTCACAAAGGAGCTTTCTCCCGAAATTACTTTAATTTGCTGGATCTGCTGGTGGTTGGAGTCTCCCTCGTTTCCTTCGGCATACAGTACGTACATATCACGACACGCATTGCTGAATTATTTAATTCTGTGCATTTGAAGACAGTCACTGTGCTCGTGTTCGGCAGATCATCGGCCATTTCAGTGGTGAAGATCTTAAGGATTCTACGTGTGCTTCGACCTCTGAGAGCCATCAACAGAGCCAAAGGACTCAAAGTCAGGCACTGCTATCTCTGTTTGACACAAGTATAATGTGAAGCTCACCAGATACAAAAGATTGTGAAGATCGGTGTAAAGGTGCCACAGTATTGGTTAGATTCAGAAACAAGGTGCAGAGAAGTCACAAAAGTGGCAGCTGTGAGAGTTTATTTGGACATTATAGAAGGTTGAAGGTGATATAATGTAACAGATGGCAAAGACAATTTGACGCTGACTGAAAAAAGGGTAACACTTATTTTTGACAGTCCACTTTAGACATTCTACTAACTAAAAGTAAATTTGCAACTACAAGTCATCAGAATATTAGTAGTCTGTCTGCTTAATATCTGCTAACTCTTTGTTTTGATGATTAATCTACTCATTGGGGCCCATTCAATCAAATTTTGTTTGGATGCAAACATTAGTCTTGCCTTGACATTCTTGACTGAGGGTAGGGGTCATGTCATACATTTTTTATGCTCTGATAAGTGAACAACTGCAGTGTCAAATATTTTCAAAACAATCTCTCTACTTTTTGAGTTTGGACAATTCCTGTATGTTTTCATGCAATGAACTCTTCTAAAAGTAAAATATCAAGCAAAATTGCATGTCTCATGTCACGACTCCTTTAGAATAAGATTAAAAGTCATAATCTGTTACCGTTTTAATTGTAAAATGCACACATGAACAAAACTGTTTTCTTTGCTTTCTCTCTCTGCCAATGCAGCATGTGGTTCAGTGTGTGTTTGTGGCCATCAGGACGATTGGGAACATCATGATTGTCACCACACTTCTTCAGTTCATGTTTGCCTGTATCGGTGTACAGCTGTTTAAGGTGCCCCAGCAAAGCAGGATTTCACATTTAACAAACTCCATTAACAAACAGTTCTCATTGCTACATGATGAAAATGTGTTGTCCTCAGGGGAAGTTCTACCGCTGTTCTGATGATGCAAAGACAAGTCCAGAGGACTGCAGGTGAGCGAATGAAGTATTACACAGTGAATACACAGTGTCTGCGTGTGTGTCCTACCATCTTTTTGTCTTTCTAGAGGGACGTTTATCGTGTACAGTATTGGTGAGACGGCACTGCCACAAATGCGTGAGAGGATCTGGTACAACAGTGACTTTAACTTTGATAATGTGCTGATGGCTATGATGGCCCTCTTCACCGTCTCAACGTTTGAGGGCTGGCCAGCGTAAGACCATAGCACGCGCACACACACACACACACACACACAGGGTTATGTACCTTACCCCCCAAATACCCCCTGCCACGCACACATTTTTACATCGTTCACCAATGATTGCCTCTAATGGATGTTTTGTTAGATTTAATTCGCTTCTGGTGACAGTTTTGTCCCCAAACTAAAGCTAAACAAACAGATATACACTCACACAAATACAAATTGTTCACAAATAAGACAATAAACCTACAAAAGCTAAAAATATGAAACTAAGATAAATCCTAAGTACAACAGATTGACAGCTTTTATGCCTAATTGTTCTTGTTAAATTGTTATTTGTTAAACACAAACATTAGAAGCCAGGATTCTAAGAAATATGCTATTTCTGAACATACTTAAGTACACTTTTTGACATTAAAGTATACAGTGGGTACGGAAAGTATTCAGACCCCCTTAAATTTTTCACTCTTTGTTATATTGCAGCCATTTGCAACGATTCTGTGTTTTTCTGTCAATATGGGGTGCTGTGTGTACATTAATGAGGAAAAAAAATTAACTTAAATGATTTTAGCAAATGGCTGCAATATAACAAAGAGTGAAAAATTTAAGGGGGTCTGAATACTTTCCGTACCCACTGTATATTAGTTTACCGTAAATGCTTGTCAGTACAGTACACTTAATATACAATATAAGTAGACAATAGATTTAATTATGGAATTACATTGCAAAAAATTATTTTCTTACTGGGTATTTTTGTCTTGTTTTCTAGTAAAAATATCTAAACATTCTTGAATTAAGATGCAGTTACTTGAAAAGCAAAATGACTTAAGGTATTAAGTCTTGTTTTCTGAAAAATGTGTCGATATTTTGTTAGTTTTGCTTGAAACAAGAAAAATATCTACGATGGGGTAAGAAATATAATCTTAATTCATGTCACGTTTATGGTCGGTTTTTGTTTTGTTTTCCCTATGTTCCTGCCTCCTGTTTCTTTATGCCCGTATTTGGTCCTTCCGGTTCCTGTCCCCATTTAGTTCCAATTGTTCCAGGTGTTCCTAGTTATTAGTTATCCTCCTCACCTGTCTGCCCCTCGTTATCTGCCCTATTTGAGTTCTAGCCCATTCTGTTCTCCCTTGTCTGGAATTGTTGATGTCTACCCTTGCTACGTGTGTTTTCTTGTTTCCCTGGATACTATTAAAAGTCTATAAGTTTGAATTCGACTCTGCGTCTCCTCACTCCGTGCTCCTCACAGTAGCGAGCCGTGACAGAATTCCAGACCCAACAAAAAAGTAAACGGCGCTCCTTCTCCCCGTTTTTGTTTTCGTTTTTTTAAAATTTTTTTGTTTTCCCTGTTTTTCCCCCGCGATCATGGAAATCGCCGCTTGTTTCGCCGCCTTAGCCCGCAGAGATCTCCCCTTCATGGAGTATGCTTGGGAATTCTGCGGGCTTGCCGCGGCCACGGCTTTGGACGATGCCACGCTCAACTCGCTGTTCTGAATCGGGGCTAATTACCATCGCCCCGTGGACCTCCTAGACACCAAGGGACTAAGCTGGAGGGAAGGGATCCTCCGGTGTCTGGAGAGTGTCCGGCCCCAAGCCAAGAATCTGCTCCAGAAAGTTCTCCTTCGTCTCCGCTGGTCCCGTCCAGCTCTCCATCATCCCCTGAGTCTTCTTCGTCTCCACTGGTCCCATCCAGCCCTCCTTCATCTCCTGATTCCCCCAAGTTAGCCAGCCCCGCTCCTCCAGAGCGCCCTCCAGAGTCAGCTCTTCCAGAGCGCCCTCCAGCGCCTGCTCCTCCAGAGTGCACTCCAGAGTCAGCTCCTCCAGAGCGCCCTCCAGCGCCTGCTCCTCCAGAGCGCCCTCCAAAATCAGCTCTTCCAGAGCACCCTCCAGCGCCTGCTACTCCAGAGCGCCCTCCAGAGTCAGCTCCTCCAGAGCACCCTCCAGTGCCTGCTCCTCCAGAGTGCCCTCCAAAATCAGGTCCTCCAGAGCGCCCTCCAGCGCCCGCTCCGCCAGATCTGCCCTATTTGAATTCTAACCCGTTCTGTTCTCCCTTGTCTGGAATTGTTGATGTCTACCCTTGCTACGTGTGTTTTCCTGTTTCCCTGGATATTATTAAAGATTTTATGTTTGAATTGGACTCCGCGTCTTCTTGTTCCTCGCTCCGTGCTCCTCAAACCGTGACAAAATTCCAGACCAAACAAAATAGTAAGTGGCGCCCCTTCTCCCCGTTTTGTTTTCATTTGTTGAAAGTATTTTGCTTTGTGTGTTTTCTTCCCCCACGTGCTCCAGGTTATGTTTATGTCCTTATTTGGTTATCTTCCTGTTCCTGTCATCATAGTTCATTAGTTTCTCGCTGTGTCTCATTATTAGTTATCCTCCTCACCTGTCTGCCCCTCGTTATCTGCCCTATTTGAATTCTAGCCCGTTCTGTTCTCCCTTGTCTGGAATTGTTGATGTCTACCCTTGCTACGTGTGTTTTCCTGTTTCCCTGGATATTATTAAGTCTATAAATTTGAATTTGACTCTGCGTCTCCTCATTCCTCGCTCCGTGCTCCTCACAGTAGCGAGCCGTGACAATTCAAAGGCAAAATAAGATTTTTTATTTTTTTTTTTCCATTGGCAGATATTTTTACTTGTTTTAGGCAAAATAATAACAAAATATTGGTGCATTTTCTTCAAGTCATTTTGCTTCTCAAGTAAATGCATCTTGATTCAAGAATGTTT